CCATGGCCAGGGACACCTTCCACTAGAACAGGTTGCTCAAAGCTCCATCCCACCTGGCTGCGAATACTTCCAGGGATGGGGCATCCACAACGTACCTGGGCAATCTGTTCTAGTGTCTCACTACCCTCACAGTAAAGAAACACCAATAACCTCCACATTTTCAAGGTGCCTTATCAGAGCCTTCAGGAGGATCTGCTCCATGATCTTGCTGGGCACATAGGTGAGACTGACTGGCTTGTAGTTCCCTGGGTCCTCTTGTTTTCCTTTTTTCAAAATGGAGGTTGTTTCCCTGTCTCCAGTCAGTGGCAACTTCAGCAGACTGCCACAACTTTTCAAATACGATGGAAAGCAGCTTTGCAACTTCATCCACCAGTTCCCTCTGGAGCTGTGCATGGATATCATTAGGCCGCCTTGACTTGTGCACCTTCAGGTTCTTTAGATGATCTGAGACCTACTCTCCTATACTGGGAAGATCTCCTTTGCCCTCTGCAACTTGGATGATGTGGCCAGAGCCTTTGACAGTGAAGAGTGAGGCAAAAGAAGTAATTGAGTACCTCAGCCTTCTCCATATCCCAGTCTCCTGCTTCTTTCTGGGGAGGGCCCACATTTTCCGTAGTCTTCCTTTTATCACCGACATACCTGTAGAAGCTTTTGTTACTGCCTTCTATCAGAGTTTTATCTTTCCTAACCTGATCCCTGAGTGCTTGGATCATTTATCTGTATTTCTCCCAGGCCACCTGTCCTTGTTTCACCCTCTGCAGACTTTCTTTTTAGACCTGAATGTGTCCAGGAGTTCCTTGTTCATCCATGCAGGCCTGATGGAATTCCTGTCTGCCTTCCTCTTTGTTAGGACATATTGCTCCTGGTCTTGGAGGATGTGATTCTTGCATATGGACCAGCTTTTTTGGGCATCTCTCCCCTCCAGGGCTTTATCCCATGATACTCTACCAAACAGATCCCTGAAGAGGCCAAAGTCTGCTCTCCTGAAGGCCAAGGTAGTGAGCTTGCTTCATACCATCCTGGTTGCCCTAAGGATCCTGAATTCCACCATTTCATGGACACTGCCCTTAAGCAAGGCTGCCCTTAAGCTTCACATTGTCCATGTGCCCATCCTTGTTGGTGAAAACAAAGTCCAGCATACCACCTTTTCTCATTGGTTCCTCAACCACATAAAGAAGGAAAATGTCATCAATACACTCCAGAAATTCTTGGATTGCTGGTGCCTTCCTGTGTTGTCCCTCCAGCATACGTCAGGATGGTTGAAATTCCCCATGAGGATCAGGCCCTGTGAACACAAAGCTGCTCCTATCTGTCTATAGAGGGCCTCATCTGTTCTGTCTTCCTAGTCAGGTGGCCTGTAGCAGACTCCTACTATGATATCACCTGCCCTGTCTTCCCTATAAGCCTGACATAAGCTTTCAGTCAGCTCCTCATCCATCCCCAGATGGAGCTAGCATAGACCCATCAAATTCTTTCATGGCTCTTTCAAATACATCCCTGTCATTCATTCCTGAATTCATTCCTTCCTGCCTAGTTTTAAGAAACATGCAGCAGATACAAACAAAACCTAAACACACAGAGGGTTTGAACATAACCATGCTCTTCTTAGTGAAAGAAAGTGATTTTTCAAGCTGGACAAAAATAATCATCTTGATGCAGTATTTCGTTCTCTTGAATGCTCAGGTAGTCTGTGCTGCTCTTTAAGCTGAGACACACCCCTTTATATTATCAGTTCACTCTATGAATTACCTAACTGTCCTGTTTACCACTAAGTCTTTTCAGGCCAAGCTTGCCCGCTCTGTGTGATTTTCTCATAAAGTCCAAGTTCATTTCCTCAGTGCATGATCTGTCATGCTTTCTGTGTCAGCTCCGCTTCTTTCTCGTATCTTTACTGCCATCCCTACAGATGCCACCTTTACTAGAAATACTGCACTAGCAAGCAGTGTGGATCAGGAAGAGTTAATCTGTACGGCTAATGTGAAAGTCTTAACTCCAACACCACATACATTTCAGCATTTTACTTTTTGTTCTTTTGTCAAGCTCTAGTTTGGACACGCAGACCAAATGCGTTTCTGTGGCCGGAGTGTATTTGGTCTGTCCTGGCATGCATCCTCCATTTCATTCAAGAATCCAATCCACACAGCCTGAGACTGCTTCAAAACTACAAACTGAAACACAGCCAAATTAGCTTTGAAAGAACAATTCCAATCCAAACTGAAATACTGAAGTATAAATACCTCTTGATAACTGTTTTTTTAAATCCTTAAAAATAGAATAAAATGGGTACATGATCCATAAGCTTTCTCTACCAGTAATTTTCCACGCCAAGGTTCTTTTTTACTGGATTATTGCTTAATAGCCTTTTATTATCACTGATTTGAAGCAATTAACAGTGACAGTATCTGCAAGATAAGACAAATTCCACCAGAGACCACCAAAACTTAAGATAAATAATCCAGTTTCCCTGCATTTATAAGCCATATCTAGATTCTTCAAAATTCCCCCAATTGCTTCCTAACATTCCCCACTCCATCCTTACCTCTGAAAAGCAGAAACACCTTCCAGATACCTTAGGAAGTTTGCAGAGACATAATAATTGTCATCAGCTTCTGTCTACTCAGGCAAAGAATTTCCACCTTCTGACAATGAAAATTAAAGTGAAGTCCTTCTGCTGCTTACGGGCTTTTACCATCTAAGTACAAACAATTGGAGAAATAGAAGAGAACAAGACATCTTGTGAGTCTCGTGACCAACAAGTGTCTCAGGCCCATCAGCCATGTGGAGTGAAAGGCTAAACCTACTTTCCCATGTCCATCTCTCTTCCTGTGGTTTGGTTTTGTATGTATGAAAGATGAGGTTTGCTGTGCCTCTGTGCTGCAATTAACCTATCTAAGTTTGTAACCAGCCTTAGAAATTATTGGACAGTGCAGCGGTACCTGAGCAGATTACCTAGTCATAGAAGTAACAAACTGCAACTTAAGAAGAAGGAAATTGATGGCAGGGAGGCTGAAATCTACATTTTAGCAACAAAGTGAGAGATACTTTTAAGAGGGCAACTAATACAGTTCTCCCATCTCCTGAAGGTTCGGTGATCTTCACAGCCACAAATTAGGGAAAAGGTTTTCCTTCAAATATGTTTTTCCATTACTGGGCTCAAAATTGTCTAACAGGTGTCTTAAGCTCAGCTCTTCTCATCATGTGAGACTCATTCCTTGGTTTTCAAGGTACTGTGGATTACAGTCATCTGAAACTGAAGCACAACTAAACTGGATAGGAACTCACCTGGTGGCTACCCTTACAATTCCATGGCTCTGCCCTCACTTCAGGTCTTCTTACCTTCCTGAAACACATACCTCTGTAAGTGAGATTCCAAGCAAAGCAACACAAGCTTTATGTTACTTTCATACAGGGTTCAGCACTGATGCAATAAACTTGACCAGTCATGCTCTAATTCACCAATGCCAACGTTGGGATAAAGCATACACACAGAACAGAAATTAGAAAAGTGAAAGTAGTACACATATCACATGCCCTTTCCCACATTTGGGTGATGACAGTTAATCTCAGTGCCTTTTAAGTGCTTTTCATGAACCTCTTCCAAAGGTAAGCTTCCCAGCTACAAACCTTTACTGTAGCCTCACTATACATATCTGCCCAGATACTTCCTTCTTGCAATTCAGCTGTCTGCTGTGGGATGCTGTAATTATGGGGGATTGGGTGGTTTTCTTCTTCACTTGTGTGTAGGACATCAAAGAGAACAGCTGTCAGACTACCACTTTTTTTTATTTCTAACTCATGCATAGACCAGACACCTTGAAAAGTGCTAGCTGATTTTCCAGATGAAGTTGTGTGTTAGGTAAAAACTCCAAAAGTTCAGAACCTTCAGATGTACTTACAGAATACTTTCAAGTTTAATGAATTCAAATGCCTTTACCAACTTAGCAAGCTTTTATCTGAATAGAAATTGCATCTTTACCTCCTCTGGTGTTAAAATTCTACTCTGGAGAAGTGGTGCTCACAAATACACTAGTTTTTCTTAAGGTATCTGACTAAACACTTCCAAGTATCTTCTAACATAAAAACTGGTAAGATGTGACTTCTCAGTTTTAACAGAAAGAACAGCTGATTTATATTTACACTATCAGACACATCTGCAATGCTAACTTCATTGTAATTCTAAATTCATTGCTTGGAGATTCAAATGACAGTGTTGCAACATAGAAAAATTACTATTCACTGAAGGACAAAATTCACCCAATAAAATCTAGCATCTAAGATGTATACATACTACATCATGCTGTTTATATACCAAGATGAAATTGCTTGAGCATCTTATAAGGCCTAAGAGTTCAGTATTTTCATTTAGATCCTGAATTCCATCAAAGTCACAGCATAAATACCAGTGTGCTCTGGAAGTGTCACAGCTGCCATTCCAACTATTGTTTTACCCTTTCTCATCCGAAAGAAGGGGCTCTGTAAGACAGCCATTGACAGAGGACTCCCAACAGGAGCTGCAGGTTTCCAACAAATTGCACTGTGCTGACACAGGCCTTGCATGGCACATGCAGAATTTCACATAATACTTTTAAAGGAAGCTTTAACAGCAGCCTACACTGGCTTTAAGCATATTTACATACAGCATTCAAAAAACTTCAGTTTTATTCCCAAAACTGCCAAGCAGTTGCACCTCTGGCTTCAAATGCATCAGCAAATCACTGTCTACAGAAGACGGTTAACAGCAGACTGAAACACACTACATACCTAAACTCCAGAGAACGTACTTCTAAGAAACTGCTTCCATCAATAAGGCATACCAGACAGATATGATTCTCACATGCTAAATCTTTATTATGTGAATGTTGTTCAGAGCATTTATTACCTTTAGACACACAATTCAAAAAAATCCAGCACATTATCAGTGGCTACATTGATGGGCAACATATTAAATCTATTTGGTGGTAATTTGTATGTATGCAATTAGCTTTTGTAGTGTAATAATCTCAGCCAGGAGGCCAACCCAACTGACGACCACCCAGAACATGGAGATGCACGTGATAGACAGACTGCCCACCCTCTGGCCCTTCATTCACAACCATCCGGAATCCATTGGTCAGGCCCAGGTTAGCAGCACATTTCTTGCCAACAATCATTAAATGTCCAAGAAGCTGGAGGAGATAAAAAAAAAAAGAAACAAGAAAAAAAAAGAAACAAGCACACAGAAAACACACAAAAAGGGGAAAGAGCAGGGAGGGGAGGCATGAGAGCAGTGAACCATTCAGATAAGCCACTAAGCTAATTCTCAGAGATTTCAGCCACAGCTCTTCAAGTTGTCTGCTTGCAACTGACATTTTATATAAAGGCTGACTACACATAATACAGAGGGGAAAAAAGAGCTAAAGATTTTTTTTCAAGCTAGATAGTAACAGACTACAAAAGTGTCAGAGAAGCTACATTAATCTCCTAGTTAAAGGCCCAGTTACTCTTTCAGGCAACAAAAAAATTCTAGTGCAAAAGAAGCTCTATCTTGTTATGTAAAGAAAGATCTTTGAACTTGTCATGTATAGTTACAAATAAAATATTCAGCACCTCCCAGCTGACCTTTCCCTTTCTTCATTTCTGGCCTGCCAAAAATCTTGAGCCCATATTAGAATAAGTAACACTGCCTGTAAACAATGAAAGTAGACATCAAGACTGCATTCCAAAGTAATAACGCATTTTGCACTCCAAATTCATACCCAATTCATATATTTGACTTTATATCACTACTGTTACTGGAAAACCTCAACATCATTCCCATTCTAAGCTAGAAAAGAAGGAATATAGTATTGGAAACTGACTTTCCCTCTTTGAAATGTCAAGTCAATAGGGGCAGGACTTGGTAAATTATAGAGCATGGTGTACAGAAAGCTTCTAAAGTACTTACAGATTCATCAGAATCTTCTGCTTCAGATAACCTGACAATCGGCTTCTTGGGGATCACTAGGAAATGGGTTGGAGCTTGCGGTGAAATATCGTGGAATGCAAGGCACTGGAGGAAGGGAACACAGTTAAAATGTTACTTACTTCAGAGAAAGCCAAGTGTTTAGGTAAATCAATACATATTTAAGCAGCTTATCAGATATTCCAAACACAAACAAAAATGTCTATTTTTCTTGAGTGATATATTATTCAAAGTCCTCTAATTTCTAAACACACAACACCAACTTCCCAAGACCTGCTGGTGTGAAAAAAAAATATTCTGTGCTAGGTATTATTTAAAAGCTATAATCTTCTCCGTGCGTTAATATACAATTAGGTTCAGCATTTATTATTTTTAAATATGCATGACGACTGACAGTGCTGATAGCATACGCACCTATAAAAGTACACTTACGCTTATTTCAATTATTTACTAACACCCTGCTTAATAAAACAAATGACAAACAGGTGCTAATCGTCTTCTGGTTATGTCTGGATTTGCCTTGGTCAAAGATAGCAAGGCGATTTCAAGAACGTGAAGTTATGTGACTGAGGCCACATTACATTTCTATTCTCAATAGCAACAAATATTTCAATAGAAGATTATTTCAAAATAATTAATTAGGGCTGGCTCTACTTTATACATTCTCAAATCGGGGGGAATATATTACTTTTGAAGTCTGAACAACCTATCTGTAAGTAGCTGCCTCCCAAATAATTTTATGCAAGTACCAAAATTCCTGTCAATCAGAAACTGCAGGCAGCACATAACTACATCAAATCTCAAACTACCAATAGATGAAATAGGAGAGAAAGCAGAGGAGGAGAAAAGGAAGGTATGCCTCTTTGTGCAAGTGACCAACCATGGAAACACGACTTGCTACTTTAACCACCACAATCTGCAGACACCCACACTGAGCATACACTCTGCCACTGCTAGTCAAAGGGGACTTACCCTTCACATTTAATAGCAAAACATCTGGTGGCCTTGCCACAAAGAGTGCATACTTATTTATAAGTGCATAGCTAGAAAAACACACCTTACATTCTTCAGAATATGTATTTCCTAGATTACTTCAGTTATTTGTGAAACAATAAAGTGAATTTTCTGTACTAGTATACTGCTTTTTAACTCAACTGAAAGGAGCTGGCTTTTGCCAACAGCAAGGGTTGTTTCCTTTGCAAAGTTACATTAGAGTTACAAAATACCCTTAGGTACAGGCAAACGGTGCACACAGAGGCTGAACGCAAACATCCAAACTGAGGCAAAGACTTTTATGAGCAGAAAACATGAAGCAATTAATTTTTCTCTGCGGCAGAGAGCAGAAGTAGGATCAAACAAAAGCAGAATCACAGGAAGTCTATGGTAAACCAGTCTTCATTTCAGCAAGTTTAGATTAAGCTAGAACAGCTGTGATAAGTCTTAATTCCACAGAGACTCTGTACTTTTTAATATCTTCTTCTCTCTGCTTGTCAATTAATAATTAAAAGGCTTGCTTACATTCCTCCTTGTAACATTTTCAGCCACCTCTAAAAAGATCTTTCCAGAGTCAACAAAACTAATTTAAAATAATCCACTATAGCCAACTAAACTCTAAAAGCAGTTCTACCTTTGTGAGTAGTTTAAGGTAAGAATCAAAAGAGATACTGCAAGTAATTTCTCTTTCAAAAAAATTCTGCATTAATGCTAGTAAGGGTAGATTATATACTCCCAGGTCACTAATCAAAGTCAATGGCCTGATTCTGAAAATGGCAGAGTGCCCAGGTGACACTGCTGTAGCAAACAGAACTGAGGAAAAATGTCCTGCAGCTTTTATCCTGGTACAGAAAGGATGCACACTCTCACATAAACACACGGCAGGCAGATACACGTGATTTTCATAAAGCACTGAAAATTTCCAATGACCTTGAGAGCAAATGGCAGCTGCAGCATTTCTGTATCTATTAAGAAAACACTGTTCCAAGCCCTGCACCATTTTTTACAGGCACACAAATCAAGCACCTGTACTCGACACTGCAGATGTTTTACTTCAAAAATCAAAAGCTCCCGTTAACGTTCAGTACTTCTATTTTTAAAAGGGGGTGGATACTGGTTTAGTTTACAGCTCGGAGTAACAGGTTTAGTTCCACAAACCGCCCCTTTCCCTTGGCTCCGAGCCACCCCCGGGCCCGCCTCACCGCGTTCGCTCCCTGCCGCAGCCGCAGCACGGCCAGCTCCAAGCTTCTCT